AGGCCTCGGGGAAACGCCACAGGGGTGATGGGAACCCAGGCCTGTTAACCTCCTCTAGACCAGCTGGTTTGCCCAGACAGATGTGTTTTTGCTTTTGTTTGTGGTGGTGGTTGTTGCTGTTATTTAATTTGCTTCTAAAAAGCAGCTTCCCTCTCTGCCTCAGGAACCCCAAGGCTTCTGAGGCATTGCCTACAAAAATAGGCTCGCTCTTAGCTGGTAGGGATTTGGACTTAAAAGCCCTGGAAGGACACATTGCAAGTTGTCCTTCCTTATAAGGCACACATTCTTTCCCTAATGACTCTCTTTCCCTTACTTCAAAGCACTTTCCCAGGACTAACAGATACCCAAGAGGCAAGTAACCAGCTCTGTGTTGCCAACCATCCCTTAATTCTGAGGCCCTCAGTCACTGGTGAACACAGGGTCCCTGCTCAAGAAAGGAAAGTTAATTCCCTAGGTGCTTTCCACTCCACCCCATCCACCTTATCTCAGAGAATTATTTCCCCAACCCACAGAGCAGGTTTTACAGATGAGGGAACTGTAGCTCGTAGCTGATAAGAGTAGGGTCTGTATTAGAAATTGGCTCCGTCTAAAAAAAATACAACACGCCTGTCCCGCCTGACGATTCAGCCCCTTGCTGGTGAGCGCCAGTTAGGTGCTAAGCGCCTTTCCTCTCCTGGGCTTTGGCTCACTAAAGGGTTACACTCCCACATCCCCTCCCACTGAGCTGGAAACTACAACTTCCAGCAGGCAGCGTGGGTCAAGGGTGCTTCCTCGGTTTCCACCTGCTAACCCACCGCCTGCTGTTGCCAGCAAGCCCGAGCCGGCGTGCAGAGGAATGAGCCTGGCAGTCACTCCATCTCACTTCCTGATTTGGTAAAGCCTGTCGTCACCTGTATTTAGAGGAAACCCTTGCCCCCGTCCTCTCACCCTCGATGCAAAAATGGAAAAAAACATCGGAGGCAGCGAGACCCACACTGACGAGCCTGGTGACAGCAAGAAGGAAGGGTATTTCCACTAGGGGACCCTGGATGATTACAAATGCATTCGCTTTTCCAGAAATGAAGGCTGAATTCAAGTCCCCACTCCCTCGGCCTCAATCATACTCACCGGTGGCGTTTCCTCTAGGGCCCACCTATCAGGTTTCTGAGAAACGACTTAGCGTCTTCGCGCAATCCGGAGGCACAGCCTCCTTAATTCCTTCCCCAACTCCGTGATGCCCCGGGTCCGGCTGTGTTTTGCTTTCAAAGGCCGCGACTTGATTTGTCCGGCCGCCTGCCAGTCAGAAGCTGGAGGGCACTTCGCTCAGACCAGTGGCTGCGAGGAGGGGGTAGGCGGGACATCTCTGCTATTGGCTGCGCCGCAAGGCTTGGTTGAAGCGTACGGGGGTGGGGG